ATATGAGATGATAATAGCCAACTCGGCGCTACGCGCCTCGTTGGCTATCTATCATCTCGTATCCAACGCGCGCTCGTGGGATAATCGTTAAATACAGTATTCACCTCAGTGTCGGTGAAATTGGTGATATTTACCTGCACTAATGTGAGTAATTGATAACTATTGAATTGCATGAACTCACAGCCAAAACTGAAAATATCCTGTCATTTTCATTCTTGTTTTAACGAATTAAAACAATATTAATAGTGTAGATAACGTAAATTATAGAAACGCTCGCCCCAATATGGTGAGGATGATGTGAAAGCTAATATAACGCGGCATTTCCTCAAATGTCGTAAACATTCACGAGTTTGTCCATGTTTGTTTTTTATTATAGGAACTTAAAAGCGTTATCTGCTATCATGCACATTCAAACACATTGATGTAAACGATTTTATGAAATAAACGATGACGTCAATTGTCTGTATTTAACCTTAATCCCTGTGATGTGTCAGTGGTTGCTGTCGTACTGCCTTGCACGCACTTTATTCTAGCTCGCCATTCCATCTGTGGAGTCTGTTGTTGTAAGCGCTCCATGCAATATCTGTAGCACCTAAGAACCTTTTAGTAACCTACACTACCAGACATAATTGGTTTGAACAATTCTCTTGAACATTGGCTATGATCTCTCGCCCTTTTTCTCTCTCCCCATATTTTTAATTGCGTATGTATCGATGTCATCTTGCAGACCAACACTGAGGGGGGGAGGGGAGGGGAGGCAGAAGGTGTCCCAACAAGTGTGTCTGGGAGTATAGCTCACCGACAAGTCCTTCGTAGCTTAATTGGTAAACTCCTGGCCGCGAAATAAAAACCTGACTGGATTTCAAACACTTAAGAACTAGCATTTTTTGTCCTGTCCCACTATGCTTAAATCTTTCTTTTTTACTTCCATTTTTTTTCTTGTCTTACAGTACTGAAACCTCGATTTCTGATTCAAATCTTTTCCCAAAATATACTTTTATTTTTATGTCTGTCCCATTTGCTAACCCCGTTGCTCCTCGATGTGACCAAAAAGGTATTACTCCGCACAATATATTGACATATTTTGAATGACATTCAAGGAGAACGATTACGAGAAGATATGAAATATATTAGAAAGGGAACCTATCGTTTGATTTAAAGGCATTCTCTGGGCTGCAATTTTAAGAAAAATAAATGGCAAACAGTGGAGAGAACATTGATATCGAGATCTTCAAAGTGAGAGGGTCAGGTTCTTAAACAAGAAGGTAACCAACAACTTCACTTTCGATTTTTCCGCTTTGAGACGAGGAAGTAGAGAAAATGAGCCACTTAAGATATTGTTGAGATGTTTTATACTTGAGCAACAAAGGACTTTTTTGGTATTTATGTATCCTCGTCTTATCGCTCAGATGGAAGGAAGAGAGGCGGAGAGAAAGCAAGGCAGTGATGCAAGCTCGAGATAAAGTCGAGATTCTCAAAATCTCTTCCCCCCTCCAAAAAAAAAGAACCCATCGCGTGTTTAAATAAGGCTTGCTTGGTAAATGTTTCTCAAAACTGAGTACATTTTATCTACAACGTCATCACGATCGTTTTCACTTGCTCTCATCTATACGCACCAATTGACCAATGAGAGTGCGCCTAGACGGTAGGAAAATCTACACAAATAGTTAGCCGTAGATGAGCGCAAGTAAATCGAAGAGTTTACGGTTCTTTACAATGGAGGATTCTCTTTCAATCTCTAACAATCGTCTAATTGCCTTAAAGTTGTCTAAACGTTTCTCGTTAATACCCAATTTTACCTTTTCCAGACAGTGTTTGGTTAAAAAGTGTCATTCAGTTCGACCTTGTCCCTTTTCTTAACAATTTAGAATGGACGCAATTCTTTGAAACGAAAACAACGAAGTGTGGTCATCTAGTAAATGTGTTGTGCTCTGTTTGAATTAGAGCTAATTGAGTGAATTGTTGTTTTTATTGACTAGTCCCTTGGGCAATAAATCGCTTTCATAATTTACACTAGGTTACTTCACTTTCCGAGACAACTACGTTAGAATTGATATTGGCTTTGGCGGCACAAACGCGTAACTCGGGAAACACTCCGTCAACTTGATCTGTTGTAGGAAAATTAATGACTAAAACTGACCAGTTTCTCGCTCTTAAGGAAAGATTTTCCCTACATCTGTACGATTACAAATATGAACGTGTGATTGATATCATAAGGTGAAAGTTTTTGTCAATGAATGAACTGCGCGCTGATGGTAAAAGTGATTGACTTTCGGTTTAAAGAAGAAAGCCTTTGTCTGCGAAGTGTAAACTTGAAGACAGTGAACGCAATCAGGGACAAAAGAGTTGCCTGCAATAGTATAATGACGTATAACTAATTGGCATCTCTTTTGCACTGTTTTTCTTAGATATTTAATCTTCTGGATCAAGATTTCGACTTAAATAAAAGACCTGAAATAATGGCGAAAATGAGAAAGAAAATCAATTGTGTAGTTTGCGAGGAATTCAGCACTGGCTCGACATCTTTTGTGGTAACTTAAAAAATGCGTGCAAGCATATCCGCTGTTATCGCTACTTTAAAGTATTTGCTTAACACTTGTTTTGGACCGCTTGGTCAAACACTAGCAGACAAATATCAAGCGACAAAAGACACACTTTCCTAACAGAGAAACCTTCATTAAGAGGTTGTTAGGATGTTTTTTAAGGAAATTGAGTGTTTGGGATTTTTTTTTTTGTCGTTTTTGGTCCGGCGATTATTGAATTGAACAAACTTTTGCACCTGTAGTAATGGTTTTTGTAAATGAATAAGCCCATTTCTCTAACTAGCAGAGCTCATAATATACGGCGCGTTCCCTTTATCAGGTGGAAAACTTCTGGAATGAAAACAAGTATAGCTTGATGTATTCCTCGAGATAAAATGGATAAGGGCAACTAAGACAATCGGACAGAAGTATCTGTCAACAGTTTTTTTATTACTGATACAATAAATTACATTTTATTTTACAAATCAAAGTAATTTCGACTGATCGAGTACTTTGACTTTCATACTTAAAAGTTTTTAAGAGGTTTACATAGAAACGTAAATGCAAAGATATAAGTCCAATATCGAACCAGCAATCTTACAACATGTACAACTAAACACACGTTTCCCTATCTGGATCAAAAACAGGATGAAATACTTCCTGCTCGCATAAAGATAGTTCCTTTTGGTAGCCACTGTTAAATGCTAGAATCAACGCTCTTCCAACGACAAGAAGCATTTTCTCGTCGTCTGACATTTCTATCACCGACGTAAAATCGTCCGTTTCGGCTTCTGGATCAGCACCCGCGTTCAATAAAACCAGCGCGCAGTTGAAATGTCCGTGGTAAACAGCGTCGTGAAGTGGCGTCCATCCTGAGCCATCTCGTGCGTTCACATTTGCTCCAATGTCTATTAACAGCTGAAGGCATTCGTTACTACCTTCGATAGCCGCTCGATGAAGTGGTGTGAGTCCGTTGCATCCAACGCGATTCAAGTCAACTTTTCTTGATTTTATCAAATGGCAAGTCTCGACGAAATCGTCGTTTTTGATTGCAATGTCTAGGAGAACGTCCGCCGGGAAAGTTACACACTTTTCCACCCGTCTTTTTAGCGCGGAACGCGGGAAAGTGCTTTCACTTTTACTGCTGATGTTCCACGTTGACGATCGTTTAATTGCCCGTTTTGGCGGCGGGTCTGATACTGCACGACTGCGCCGTGGCATGAATGGAGAACGGTTCAAGGCAACGAATTCTTCTTTCGTGAGCGCTGTAGTCGCACGCCTATCAAATGATTGCGGCGAAAGTTCGTCCACGGACGCGAAGCCGCTCGAAAGTGATTCGTTCGTCTGGACAGACTCCATTGATGTGCTCTCAGGAGATTTGTCTATTTCAGAAAAGCCGGACTCACTTTCGCTAAATCTACTACAGTCAGACACGTTTGATAGGCTTGAAAGCCTTGAATCACTCTCTCTCAGTCCAAGAAAGTTTGCAATGGAACGCTTATTCCAAAACTGAGAAAATGGCACTGGAGATCCCTTTTTTCTTGTGGTCTTCAAGTCTAATGCCTTGGCGGCTTTTTGCCGGGCCTTTTCGGACAATTCTTCAAACTGTAATCTCTCTTTAGCTATTTGAGCTTTGCCTGCTCTGGCCATCATCTGAGCGAGCATTAAAGTCATTTCTTCATTCTTCGAGCAGTCGAGAGGAATGTTTCCCCTGGCGGATACCGAACACGTATCCGCTCCTCGTTGAAATAACAGCTCTGCTAATAATTTGTCTCCAATCTCTGCCGCTAGGTGGAGAGGAGTTCGTCCCTGTTTATCTTTCGCATTTACGTTTACTCCTCTCTCCAGTAGAATCGACACCAGAATTAAATTGCCCTCTTGAGAGGCTCTGTGTAACGCTAACATCATGTGACAAGTGTATCAGTGACCCTTTTCGGCACCACAGCATACAAAAAAAGATGACGTTTTTTTCAAAGCTTGTCAGTTTTGATCTCCGTCTCCTTCGCCTGAGGGATTTAGTTTTTAAAATCGCCTGTATCTGGTTTGCAGCGTCTTTTGTCTGTACCAGGCAGTTCATGGACACTATATACGTTGGCGACCGGAGATAAATTATTTTGACAAACAAACACCTACTATATTGTTATGGTATTACTCGACTGACGCAAATCCCATGAGTCACTCGTAATTACCAGTTCAGTACAAAATTTCAGTTCCTGACTGAAGTCAAACACCATGTATTCACGGAAAGCTCAATAGGACGTTAGTATTTCTTTGCCTAGTTAAAGCTAGTTTCGACATGACACCATCAATGCGATAAACACATCCAAGAAGTGCTCGAAAATTAAGTAGAACTACACCTGTTTATCAAAGTGAATTCATACTCGTTAGGGAATTGGTATTGGTTCAAGAGAACATCACTAAAACCGACTTCCTCTTTTATTTAAATGATAACTTATTTTGTTAAACTTACTTTCAAAAAGCTGATGTTAGCTGATAAAATCTCATGCCAGAAAAGTTGCGAAATAGTTCCAAAAATCACTTCCACTGCGATTGGTACTTACATGCAAATTTGCTAAAACCTTCGAAAAGTGAACTTTTGTTTTTCGCCCACAACATTTTTATTGTGAGGCGTGTTTCAACTTACCGACCTTTTCTCTCAAACTTTACAAAAAGTCTCTTTATGCCTTCCGCTGTTTTCAAATATGAACAAAAGACTACACAGAAGTACGATTATCAACGGGTCGAATATAATGAAGAGCCCAAGAAGTTTCCTGACGCGACAACTAGAAGTTTCCTGACGCGACAACTTGTACTTATTTCCTTCCTGTATCGCCCGCAGATCTACTGTTCTCTTTGCGTATACTGCTCGAAATCCTGAGGTTCATAACGACGGTGTTAGCAACACAGAAAATCATCTTCCTTGCCCACACAATATGCAATCGCAAAGTTATCCTTGGAATGCCGAGAAGAGTTTTCGTGTTGACTAACATACATGGATTAGATTTACTGCCAAGACTGCACAAAGTATTTTACATGTTTTATGTCAAATTTACTTTTATGTAAACATGCTCATAAACTTTAATAAGTTATCGCCTTATCGCTAAGTTCCAATTTATTATTTCATACCGCGTATATTATACCGCGGTATGAGGCGTTTTCTTACTAGAATGTTCAACCTTTTCCAAATCCTCTAAACTTTTTTAAAATACTTGAAAGCACTTTAAACGTCTCATTATCGATATAAAAAATTTCACTTCCAAGTTGATGATACGCAAATTCCTGGAAAGGACGCTCATACTAAGGCACGTGCAAATAGCAGGTTACATAACCCTTTTTTTTGTACTGCAGTGGAGCATGAAATAACGTTTGGTCTCAGCTCCATTAATGCATTAATGGTATTAACTTCATTATCGTTGATTTTAAGGATTAATCAAGATATTCACTCAAAACAATTGACAACAGAATTCAAACAAAACGAATGTCTTGAAGAGCCGTTTATAGCACTTTAAGTTCCATAAAATATTTTATAAATTTCGTCATGTTTTTGAAAACTTGAAATCGAGAAAACATCAGCAGTATCAGTAAGTTCCGTTGGTAGAATATCGCAGATCATAAAAAACAATGCGCGCACCCTGGATCCGAAAACAAGATTAGGCTATCAAATTTTCGACGAACAAACTTTTTGTGGTTTATCGATCGTCTTTTGATCCCTAACAAGTTTATCCTGACAGTGGAGAAAAAATTTCCGGGTTCACTGTTTTTCGATTACAGACAACTTCATTTTGATAGAAAACTATTTCATGTACACATAAAATTTCGCACGGGTTTCTTGATTGTTTGACCTCTATTATATGGCTGTGTCTCACGAGGACTGGGAACTACTGAATTCACGAATTTGATTGGCTGAAATCAATATTGAAAGCGGTCTAGATTTCTCATCTAGACCGGCATGTAGACCGGCATCTAGACTCGGTCGCTGGTACAGACCGAACGCAGTGAGGTCTGTTCTGGCGACCTCGGTCAAGATTCTCCCATAAAGACCTCCCGCTCGGTTAATAAGAACTAAGTATTAAAGCACCTAATCACATCTCTGAAAAAATATCCATATATTGGACTGTCTGGTGTACCTTAATTCTGTTAATCAGGCTTCATCCAAATCGCTTAGCTGGAGTTATTTTTAAAAGTAATGGATGGATTGTGCCAAGAATTGGAAAAATCTAATAAATGTGAATAGCACAAAGTTTCGCACAGGTTTCTTCATTATTTGACCTGCATTCCAACTAAAGCACTCAATTACATGTCTGGAAAAATATCCTGAACGCTCATATCTGATGAACCTTAATTCTGTGAATCAGGCTTTATCTGAATCGCTCAGTTGGAGTTACTTTTAAAAGTGGATGGATTGTGCCAGGATTTAAAAAAATCTAAACAAATTTAATAGCACTTAAGAACAAGAGCACAAGTACACCTTGATACTCCACTAATTTATCAGAGCGCCTTTGATCGAAAGACCAAATAAAAACAAGCAGATTGCCAAAAGCGCAGGAAAACGCAAGTGACCAGTTCCTCCTCTGATTGGTCGAGAGAGTGGCGCGAGTTTTTATGGACCAATCACACAGCGGAGTAACGTAAAACAAATTCAATCTTGGAGTACCTTTGACACTCAGTTAATAAAATGGTCTATCGGCCAAATCAAAGAGAACGTGATTAAAAATCCCTGCCTAATGGCTATTCTTAAACGTGGCCAAGGGGTTTTTACGGAACAGTAAAAAAAAAA